TGAGCAGGAAAAGGACGGATCCACGATGAGCAGGAAAAGCACACGATGAGGACCAGCCGTCGAGCACCGAAGGAGAGCACCAAGTTCCCGTCGAGCGAGTCCCCGAGAGAGAGAGAGAGAGAGAGAGAGAGAGAGAGAGAGAGAGAGAGAGAGAGAGAGGGAGAGAGAGCACTGACCACCATGCAGGTAGAGCACCGAGCACACATGTGCACGTTCCGGAAAGTGGCGGGCGATTGGAGTGTGTGGCCGGCTACAACAATGTGGGCGGGCGATTGGAGGGGTGGGCTGGCAACACCGAAGAGGGTGGCTGGGGCAACGAAAGCAGACGGGCGGGCGATTCGGCGCTTCTGGTACCAACCGGCGACCGCGGAGGAGTGGGGGGGCGGGCCACGATTACGGGCGGACGGACGGGCGGACGATTGGAGGGGTGGGCCACGATTACGGGCGGACGATTGGAGGGGTGCGCGGGGCTGCAATTAGGCGCCTCCGGTACCGACTGGCAGAATCTGAAATCTGACATCGCACGGCCCGAATTGCAGGCCGGTAACCACCGCGGATGGCCCAGATCGCAGGCCTTCCGCGGTGGTTACTGGCCTGCGATTCGGGCCGTGCGATATGACGTGTAGCAGTTATTATAGTAGATGTAGATGTAGATACAGAGATAATGACCAGGCGTTCTGTGCGGGTGAATACGGTAGTGCCACCGCTTCCAAGCGGGATAATTTGCTTAGCCTCCCATTTCAGTCACTGACAGAGGTCCCCCTGGTTTGAACCCCTTCTGACACCTTTGATAAATCCCCTGGTTTGAGCCCCGTCTTACACCTGGGGCGAGGTCCCACTAGCAAAGAGGATTGGATAAATATCCTGAATCTGGACGTGTTTTAGGCAGAGATGCAGAAATGGAGTTCAATCTCGATTTTCTGCACTTGTCCACAAACGCGGCCAAATTAAGGGGTTCAATCCAATCCTCTTTGCTAGTGGGACCTAGCCCGTGGTCTGAACCCCTTCTTACACCTGGTCTGAACCCCTTCTTACACCTTCGATAACCCCCCTGGTTTGAACCCCTTTTTACACCTTCGATAAACCCCTGGTCTGAACCCCTTCTTACACCTTCGATAACCCCCCGGTAGACCCCCGGTAGACATCCAGTTAACCCTGATGAGTCAGTGGGATGTTGCTTCTCTTCTGTGTGTGCTGATGAGGGGATTGGGATTGGGAGGTGGGGGGATATCATTATGATGTTGTTGAGGGTGAGCATCATGCGCTCGTCATCCACCGTACGTCAGAACAAAGTGCATCTGTCAGTTTGCAGAAATGGTGCGTTGATCACTGCATGTATTGAATCGATACGTACATGGAATGCCATTGTGAGCATACAAGCGCTTTCCTGAACGTATCTGACCGCAATCACAACCGTACTGTATGTATCTGACTGCAATCGCGTGCAGATAATAGTAGAAAAAGTCCTAGTCTCAGTATGATGCCCTAAAAGCGTCTGGCTTACATATTACAGGGAACGAACTGCATGACACGTGGCATGTGCGTGTGTGTCTACTTGCTCTTTCCTTGCCGTTTGTGAGGGCGTTGTGGTGAGTTCTGTCTGGTTTCTAAATTGGAAGGGAAATTGGACACCATAGCCGAGTGTCGGATGCGTATCTGGCACGTGCGTGTCTAATGCACACGTGTCTGACACGTGCGTGTCTTTGGATGCGTATCTGACACGTGCATGTCTGATGCACACATGGCTGACATGTGTGTGATGCGAGTCTGCCATGTTGCTGCTTTCATGTCTGTTGTGCGTCTCACGTGTTTCTGACGCGTGTCTGGATTTGTCTGACGTGTGTTGGTCGTCTGCCGCATGTGTTTCTGACATGTGTCTGCGTTTATCTGATGTGTGTCTGTGTTTATCTGACGTGTATCTGTCGTGGTCTGACAATTGTGCAGATCCAGAATTATTAGAGCGGGGACAGAGCCGGGGGACTGATTCAGAATATGACAGCACGAACAGAGCTGGAGCAGGGGCAGATTCAGAATTGGAGCGGGAATAGAGCGGGGGCAGATTCGGAAATGGAGTGGGAATTAAGAATTGGAGCGGGAATAGAGCGGGGGCAGATTCAGAACTGGAGCAGGGGGAGATTCATGGGGACAGACCAGGGACAGATTCGCAATTAGAATGGGGAGAGAGTTGGGAAGGATTCGTAATTATAGCACGGACAAAGTATATAGACACATCCAGAATCGGAGTGGGGATGGAGCGGGGACTGACTCAGAATCAGTGCAGGGGCAGATTCAGTTTTGGAGCGGGGAACAGAGCGGGGACAGATTCGGAATCAGCACGGGGACAGAACGGGGACTGACTCAGAATTAGAGCGGTGACAGAGCAGGGACAGATTCAGAAACAAAGCAGGGACTGAGCGAGGACAAAGGCTCCGTCGAGGTGAAGCATTCGATTGGAAGAAGAGGGGCAGAGATAAAAAAGAGAAGCGGTGGGAAGGCTGGGTAGAGGAATGGGTGAGAGGAGACCCTCTACTGACAGGAGAGAAGGGAAAAAAGTCCATAAAAAGGAGGGGCAGATCAGAGCACCTTACTGTACCTTTGCCTGTTTTCTTTGTTTTTTTATTCCTGTCTTTTCTATATACAAGTGGACCCGCCACGGCTTTGCGCGCGGCGAAGAGAGGGAAGAAGCACACAGGTTATGTTTGAGAAAAAGGAGTGCACATGTTGATATGAACTGCAGGCCTGATAGAGAGAACCTTTGAACATGCTGTCATCAGAAGAATGTCTGACAAAGGAGAAATGCCATTGCGAAGTGTGAATGGAAAGAAAAAAACTCTCTCTCCCTCTCTCTCTCTCTCTCTCTCTCTCCCCCCTACAATTTCGACAACACGCGTTTCGTTCCGCTGGCGTTACTTCCCCCTCTCCACAATTGTACTTCGTCTTTGCTTCCACCTTCGCCTGGCATCACTGCGTGTTGACACACTATCGAACTTTCCCACATGGTAGCGCTCCGTCGACGATCCGCGTCGGAATGCATGGAATAGCGCATGCGCCGGCATCGGCAGGCAACAACACCCAGAGGGAGAGAAAAAAATGACATACATTTTCCCCGTTCTTGACGGGACATTAATTTTTTTGGCTGCGGTCTCGGGATCCTTCGGCCTTCAGGCGCGTTGCTGTGCCAAACCCCGCGGACGAAAAACAGAAAAAAACAGAAAACACGCGAGTAGAAGCGCGGAAAGAAAAAAGGGCCGCAGCGTGACTACCGCTTTCTGCTGGGACCGTCCTCCCCCTCCTGTCCCTGCCACTTTCCCAAGACTGGTGGCCGGGTCTTGCGTGAGCGTTACGCGAGTCCCGCGATTCGGTTTAAGAGTATAGAGATATCTGCAAACAAAGAGCTTCCCGCTAAACCGTAGGCAGAGAGGGAGGGAGAGAAGAGGACAACAAACGAGGGGTTGTGGCAAACTGTTTCGTCGGAGTTTCACGGACTGGTTCATCAGGAGGCTGAAAGCTATGTTTAATAGGCTTTCTTCTTCTGTGAGGTTTGGTTTCCTCTGCCTTTTCTTTACCTCTTTGCCTTTTGGCTGCGTGCAAGTGGGTCTTTATGACACACGGGGATGGGGGTAGCCAGCGCTCAACCTGTCATCCACGTGGCTGGCCTCGTACGTACGAGGTTGTGAACAGGTGGAGCTCCTTACCTCTTCTTCTCCCCTTTTTTCTTTTCTCTTCTTTTCTTCTTTTTTTCGCTTCTGCGCTCTGATTCAGTGTGACAATATATGACATTCTGTGTGTGTGTGTGTGTGTGTGTGTGTGTGTGTGTGTGTGTGTGTGTGTGCCAGGGGTGTGGATATGCAAGCCTGATCCTTACTGGGTCTCATGGCCCTTAGGCTACCGTCTTTACCGGATTGGAACGCTGGTTCACTATATACCTGTATGTGGCGCAACGTCCAGTCTAGATACAGGAATAATGACCAGGTGTTCTATTTGGGTAAAGAAGGTAGCCAACCTCTTTTTCTTTTCACATGGCCTGCGCCAGGTGTTGTTCTAGCCTCTGGTCTGGACTCTGGAGTCATTTGATGCTGGCTTTATGTGTTTGCCTGCACAGCTGTGGGTGGGTGTAGACGGGTATCGTGGTGGATTTATGTGGTTGGCTGTGCACGGGCGTGGTACACAACCTGCTGCCTTTGCGTGATTTGAATGCCTGGTGATTATAGCTGCATTTGGGCCAACGTTTTGTCTAGGTGCAGCGATAATGAGCGGGGGTGGTCTCCTGGTGCACGGACTGGACCGTATCCTGGTTTGTATGCCCCATCTGGCGCACCAAACTGGACCATGTCCTGGCTTGCTTGCTTCATCTAGTGCACAGAATGTACCTAGACCATACACTGGTTTTGAACGCTGCATCTGGTTCACCAACTGGACCATATCCTGGTTTGTATGCTGCATCTGATGCACAAAACTGGACCATGTCCTGGTTTGTATACCCTGGCTTGCGTACTGCATCTGGTGCACAGAGTGGACCATATCCTTGTTTGCATGCTTCATCTGCAAACCGGGTCTCCACTGGTTCATATTCCATGTTGAACCTTGTTCCATTGAATGTACAGAGTCATTACAGCTGTACCTGTTGCGATTCTCAGTTTAGATACGGTGATGATGACCGTACGTTCTATTTTGGTGGAAGTCGCGGCAGGTTGATGACAGACAAAGTCTGGTGGGTGGCTTGGCCCGGTCTCTGTCCAGGTCGAATTTTGCGGTCCCCCTACTGTCTTCCCCCGAACACAATGCACCCTTACTTTGGCTTTATCTGGCCGGAAATATAGCTTGTATACATTCGTTTTTAGGGTGTGTTATGTTCGGGGGAAGACGGTTGTCAAAAGTCTGTAGCATACTCTCATTGCAGCTGTGTACTTGTTGCAGCTTTCAGTCTAGATACAGTGACAATGATCGTCCTTGGGGGGAAGACAGCAGGTTGACGACATACCAGGTCTGGTGGGTGGCTTGGTCCGGCGGTCTCTATCCGGATCGTTTTTTGTGGTCCTGCCAGTCTCAGATTCTGCGGACCTTCAGGAGAGTCATTTGCTTCTGGCTTATTCGTTCTTTTTTTTAGGTACTACCGGAGTGCAAAAATATCTGAGGCCGGGAGCCAAGTCGCACTATCAGCGTTGAGCTAACCTCAATGCCTGAATCTGGACGTGTTTGTGGAGATGTGCAGTTCAGGTAACTGAACACCATTTCTGCACATCTCCACAAAAGCGTCCACATTCAGACGTTGAGGTAGCTCAACGCTGCTAGTGGGACTTGGCCACGGGAATCCTTAGACGTCTCAACCTGGAAGGAATAATAATAATAAATAAATATAATGATAATAATAATAATAATAATAATAATAATAATAATAATAAAATAGAAACCGGGTTCAGCGTCCCGTCATAAATCCGAATAGAACACATGGGCAACTGGATAGGAAATTTGCCAGCTTTGTTTTTTGACTGCCTACTATGAGAAATCGAAGATGTCATCCTCACAGCTTGAAAACTAGGCTACCAGCCGGGCCCGTCCGGGCCACCTTTGCTCGGGATGCCCGGCCGTTCAAGTACCAGAGAAGGTTCCAGCCAAAAAAAAAAAAAAAAAAAAGAAAGTCTATAAGACGAACATGTTATGCAGAAAAATAAATTTTACTTAATCGGAAGTTAATCCACTCCATTTAGTCTAATTTGATTGCTTGAATCGTGAAAAAAAAAGCCACCTTGCCCCCACCTGGAGCGAGACATAGCGGCGGCCCCTTTTAGCTGAACGTCCGGTTAACCAGCTAGGGGAGGGGATGTTCACCTGGATTCAGGTGTATGGGGATGCTGGGCGACAACCGCGGAGGGTCTTGGATTCTGCGTGGAATGGATGCTGCTGCCTGCGGAAGATTTCATGCATTGGATGGGTTTTTTTTTTTTTTTTTTTTTTTTTTTTTAACGAAAGGACAGGATCATTCCATTACAGAAGAACTTGGGGAGGCCGGGAATCCGCCTTCATGCATTGGATGTACTGCGTTGACGATGTGAGTCTCCCTTGCTGCAACGGTGCTGGGGTGGGCTGCGTGTCCCGACCGATATGACGCCCGTTTGAACAACACCGGGTCACCGTTGCAGTGGTAACGGCATCTGGCTTCTACAGCCGAGGTCGCCGGTTCGATTGCGTTTGGCTGCAGAATGCCATCTGTCATTTGACTTGCGGGTAGATTACCGGGCTATCATGTAGATAAACCTATGAACATGGCCTCCACTACCCTCTTCATCCGAATAGAACGCCCAGTCATTATAGCTGTATTTGGCTGAACTTTCAGCCCATATACGGAGATAATTACCTGGCGTTCTATTCGGGTGAAGAGGGCAGGAGAGGTGATTTGACAACTTTCAGGCTGTCTTTTCGCAATTCCCTCCGCACCTTCGTTTTTTTTTAGTAGTGGCCAGGCTCGGAGATAATTACCTGGCGTTCTATTCGGGTGAAGAGCCCAGATACAGATTTGTAGAGGCCAGGTTAAGATGTACGGAGGTAGAGCAGCCAGTGTGCTTCGTTTTTTTTTTTTTTTTTTT